TGATCAGCCAACTTAGCCATTTAGGAGATTAAGATAGTTTGTTTTTTCAAATTCAATTGGCTTACGTTTTTTTCTTTAAGCTAAAGAAATATTTTCTCTGTTTAGTTGGAGGTCTAGGTGCTGCAGGTGGGCGAGACTTTGATTCCTTGTCAGCAGCATTCAACAATTCAGACAGAGACTTCCATCGCTCTGGAAGCGGAGCTGGTCCTGGATCTGTCTTTTCATCATCTTTGTCAGGTGGGTTTATTAAGTTTTCAATTCAAGTTACTGTTTCCTTTGCTGAAGCACACTTATCAGAAATAGGAAAATTTTATAATGTTCTTTTGATGGAGTGAATTTTACATTTTGCCCTCAAGTTCGTTGTTATTATTATTTTACTATTTGCAGAAAGGAAAAGCTCTCCTCAGCTCTTGTATAAGAGTGCAGTAGCCTTTTTTTAAAATTTCCATACACAGTAAATCACAATCAAGTGCAATGATTCAGGTGTCAATTGTGAAGGTTGACATCTAAATGTTTGTTGAATCACATTTTCTCCAAAACCACTGGCCTTGGGAGTTCAACCTCAGAAAGTCCAAGAAAATAAATTGTTCTATTGATATCGAGGGCATTATCTCTGGATCGTAATAGATGAAAGTTGGTACCAAGAGGTAATTTCAAGCGCTGTACTCATTTTTGATCTTAATGAAAAGAAAAGCTTTATTTTATGAAGTGGTTAAAAGGCCAAGTATCAAGTCTTTAAGAGGCCAACTATTCTGTAAAAGGACTCCCGCCTATATTATGAATATTCCGTCTTTCTAGTTAAAAAGTGAGTGAAGCACGGTCACCAGTTTTCACTTAGTTAAATCCATGAATTTTACTTCAATATCAATGAAGGATTCATATTCTTTATTGTTCAAGAGCTGTAGCAATGTTTAGGAAATAACAATATACCACCGAAAAATCTCATTTTTATCCCTTGAATCAACTCAAAAAATGTTTCCCTTTGATCCCAAAACACCTAGTGTATTTCCATTCATATCATACCTATACCAGTATGTAATCTCATAATTATGTTACGGTTTTTTAAATTTTTATTTGTCTTGTCCAGGAGGACTAGATCGAGGGAATGGCGTCAATGATGGTTTGCTTCCCTCCCGCCGAACCGATACTGTTGTCGTCTCCAATGTAAGTATTTCAGCTGAGCCTTGAATTTGATTCCAGGACTTCTTACCCGCACTCTTTTCACCCATGGTATGATTTGCCCAGACCGTTTCACCCGTAACCTTTGACCCACAATATTTAGAACCCCATGCATTTTTATCTACATAATTTTTTGTCTGGAGAGGGGGGTTGGGTTTCGCCTTTGTGTATTTTTACACTACCTGTGGAAATCGCAGGTGAAGGGCTGCCATAGCAATCATTCCATAATGTCATTCCTGGTAACTCTTGATGCAATTCAAGGGAGACTATATTTCTTGTCGGGATCCTTTTTATCATTTAACTACTTCAAAAGTTTTTAAAGTGCAGAGTTTGTCCATTCTGAGGAATATTTTTTTGTGCCCTTTCTTCTTTTTGCCAGTCAAGAAGGTCACTGAAACAGTGGAGAACTTGTTTTTATGTATTGAGTTTTTTCCATCACTTTTTTTGCTTATGCCTGTTTGAGCTAACTCTTTTCTGTCTTTTTTTAGCTCCCAGCTGCTACCACTTGGCAGCTACTGAAGGACAAATTTTGCAGCTTTGGTGACATTAAATTCGCTGAAATGAGAGGCAAGGATTACGGTATCATCCGATTTAGCAATGAATGGGAGGCAGAACGTGCGATTAATATGATGGATCGAGCTCGCTTTGATGGGAGAACAATTAGTGTTCAGTACTTCTAAAGTACGATTTCAACATGGAATCACAATTCTGAACTGTAAGTGCTTAAGTCTACCTTTCTTCTCTTTCAAGATGAGTTACTAATTTTTTCTCCTTTTTTTTTCTTAATCTACTTTTCCAAAATTAGTGTTTTATATTTTTTTCTCCTTCTTCTCTTCTCTTTATTTCCACCTTCCTCTTTTGGTTGAACAATTTTAAATGTGCTGCATTAATCATATGGCAAGAGGTGTTTCTAGGGACACACAAATTTTGCTATTAGTGTATTTCTTACAAAAATTTCTCAAAACATGTTATTGAGGTGGGACAGAAACAGGTTTGTGATTGGCTACCTGCAGACTCCAAGTTTATGACTGGACTAAACTCGTAATTGGAGGTTTCGCACGAGAAAAATGCTAATTTGGCACTCTCCAGTTATTTCAGGACCAGATATGTAGAATATGGTTTTACAATGCGATTTTTAGTACTTAATTGTCAGAAAGCGCTTTTTACTGATCAAAAATTGACAGAAAACGAGAATTTCATCAAAATGATGCAGGTTAAATCAGCAATCAGGCTCCATCAGCACTTCACCGGTGTCTTGCTGATGGTCATGCTGGTGTCATTGGACCTAATCTCAGTTTTACTCCCATGTAAAAGTGGGCTTTAAAAATCTAGAAATTATGAATATAATTTCAAGTAAAACAGATTTGAATTATTGAATAATATGACTCTGTAAGAAAGGAATAACCAGGTGATCTCATAATCAACTTTTCCAGGTATAAATTATTATTTCTGGTACTCTTAAGATCCCTTGTATGAACTTGTAGTCTTTAAAAGAAATTTTTAAATAACGTGAACAGCTTCAAAGTGTGTAAAAATATGCGTGGGGAACAGGAAAAAATAACACAGCTTTTTGCATGTTTTGAAACTCCATAGAACACCAAAAAAACCATCTTATACCTAAAACGAAATTTGTGTGTCTCTAAATATATCATGTCCGCCTTTAACCTCTCTACAGGAACCTTTCAAAACAAAAGAAGCAAGAAAGTGAAAACCTGCTCTGCTTCTTTGACAGCTGGATGAAACTTTGCATCGTGATGTTTAACTTGATTCAAGTCATCAACATTTCTGAGATTGATGAAGATCAATAACACTCGTTTAGAAATATTTGTTGCCAACTCTTTTTTGGAGCTGTTTTTAGGCAGAGCTGCAGTACCGAGCCCAGACATAACCTTTTTTGTTTTCATCAGTGCAAAATTTTCTAGAAGATTGAATTTAGCACCAAAGACATACTCTTGCAAGATTTCTTTCAATTTTTGGAAAGCTTCTGCCCAGTAATAAAAACAGTCAGGCTGGTTCTAGATTCAGCTGTGAAAAATTCACACAAGAGTGCACTTCAGTAATGGAAATGATATTAAATTCTTCTGTGAAACGAAATTGATTTTTTATTGGGGCAGTCTCTTGAAAGCATTCTGATAGACATTTTCTCTCTCGGTTCAGTATCAGCAGTCCTCCTCATAACTGAATCAAGTTCTCTTATGATGTTGCTTGCGTCTAACTTATTATGTTTATACTTAGTACTATGTCATAGTACTCCGTTTGACTTGAAAGTTAAGGAAGTTCTGTGTGAAAATGAATGAAAAATGTTTCGCGGAAGCTTACTTTTGAGCAAGCAGAATTTCTGTTGCTTAGGTAGGAGTGCAATAAATTACAAAAACACAGGCTGTTTCTTGTGAGTTGGAATTTTTTCCTTACAACTATGCGCAAGCTCTACCCCCTATTTCAAGTCATGAGGGAAAAAAAGAAGGTTACCACTTTTGTAACTCTTCTTTTCGCTTCAGATTCACCCCATGCTTGCTGAGATCTGTGGATTGTGAGATGGAGCATTTTTTGCACCCCTGGGTTTTGGGACTATTTAGTTTCAATGTAATTGTCCTTAACCAATTTCAACAGTCTGAAGGTAATGCGGCAGTTTGCAATTGGGAACTCTTATAAGTGATAGTGTTGTTGTGTTAAAGATGAAGATTGAGCATGCAGCTCCGAAACAATTGTCCTTTTACTCCATAAAAAGTGAGTGAGCTTAAAGTTACTGTAATTATTGACTGGGTGCGCTCACTCTTTTAAGTGAATTCAGTTTGTTCGACGATAATTCACGTTTTCCTGCAGTCCATATAATTAGGAAATAAAAATGATTTCCTGTGGTGGTCTACTTGTTGGTTTATTACTTGTTGAAGTGTAATAAGTTGCAATTATGATCTGCCACCATGGCGTGGTGACGAAAGTTGGTTTCATAATGAGCCCCTAAAAATTTTGGAAACCAAAAATCCCTAACACGTTGACTGTCATGTGTAAGTGTATGCAAAGTGTTTACCCTGAATAAATTTTTTTCAGCAGATAAGTGAATCTTACAAATTTTGATCAGGATTTGTTTTGAATTCTAATTTGATGTATATTCTTAAGGTAATTCTCCGTAACTAGTCCAGCCTCTCAGATCAGTTCAGCTTTGGACTCCATGTTTCCCCCTAGAAGTTACGTATGCCAGGTTATAGTTTAGTTCAGCGGCTGAATTGCAATTCTGACTCATCATTTGTTTAGGCCCTTCCGTCGGTGAACGCTTTTTCGTTAGAGATCTCCGAAAAAATGTGTTCGAATATGAAGATTGCGATTGATATTGAGTGTTCATCTTGGTTGATGATGGCTGAATTACTTGAAATCGTAAGCATGGTGCAGCGATCAGTAAACTTCTCCGTTTTTTTTTATGATGAAGGTGTGATTCTCATCATGATAATTTGATCTCCAAGTAAAAAAGTTACACCTTTCTCAACTCACTGTGCCATGTATTGTGAGTATGATAATGATCATTTTGTTTGCTTCATTTGACTAGCATGGCAGTCAGCGTGTTACGTACTTATTCTGGGTAACTGTGGTGCTGATAATCCTTTAATATCTTTGGAAACATCCTGCATTTAGAGTATACAGCCACAGCTGAATGATAATGCTGATGGCATCCTTCAGAGAGAGATAGAGGGGAAAAAAGGAAAAGAAAAAACTGAAGCAGTAGAAGAGTAACTTCAGTAATAATGCAGTACCATGTTTTATGTCTTACACTTCGTACCAAATTCAGGGCTTTTTCTAGTTAGGATTAAAGACACTTTCAATTTTTAAATCAGTAGCTTTCAATATGCTTATCATATCTGCTATCTTCTTTGCCTTTCTTGATTTATCCTTAATTGTGTTTAGGTGGGTTGAAGTATTTGTCTGCTGTAAAACTAGCTTTTGAATACTTTTTTTTTCAGAATTTTTAGACTTGGGAAGAAGATAGTTTATTAACTCTCATCTGGTGGCTTGAATGAAGAAGTCTGTTCATGGTTTTGTGAAAAATCTCATTTGTTCCTTTCAGTATCCATGGAATTAATCTCAGTTTTTGGTTGTCGTGGGTTTCCAGAATATCTCGCTGCATATGCTCCCAACTCCATTGTATTTTCATATTTTAAATTTATTCAGTATTGTATTTTTCATTGTATATAAGTTTCTTGCTCTCCTTTGAACCATTGATGGATTTGGGATGAGACTTTGTCAACAGTCAAACCTTTAAGTTGGGTTCTTTCAAGTGTCTTATTTATTATAGCAAGAAAGCGCTCTGAAGTGATTTGTCCTCTTCCACCATCTCTTTTATCATCTCTATTAGTTTTATGTTAGGACTGAAAGTTGTTAGATGAGTCACCTTATTCTATTTTAGGGTGTCCTTTAGTCTTGAACCATTTTCGTCCTTGGCTCTTAACAAAAAATGTATGCGTGTCTTATATCCTATTCAAACAACTGAAAGAAAATACTTAATTTAGAAGTACAAAAAATGCATTTATCAGTTCAAAAAACATTAGTAATTCTCTGCAGAGATCTTTTATTCTCTTGTCCGCACTGTCTGTTGTTGCCTCCTGGTTTGACTTTGGTTAAAACCTTTTTGAAATGACCTCCTGGATTGAACAGCATGCATCTCTCATTGCCCCCTTTGATAAGAAGACATCCGTAAGGCAACGCACAAGTTTGCTCCCATCATAGTACTTGCCTGTCCTTTAAGTATTTCCTCAATTGGCGTCAAAAGAATGAAAAAAAAAACCTCTTTAATGTTAACACCTGAATCGCTCCCTGTTGGTGCTTATTTTATAGAGTGCAAACATAAGGTCTATTTGTATTTTTATCTCATTATGAATACTGCCCTAACCTCAAGTACTGGAAGTACCCCATGAGTACTTGAGCATATTAGGTTGAATCAAACCTTCCTATTAGCTCACAATGATTTCAATATTTTCCTTTGATATCTTATGATTATGATTCCGCGACTGCAAAATGTTAAATTTTAGCAGTAGTTTGCTAAGAACTGAGGGAATATAGGTTTGGCAAAATTAAGGGTTACCTAGGAAAGCTCTTTTTCAAAATGCATCGTTTTAGTTGTTGTCTTGAAAACTCTTTTTCAAAATGCATCTTTTGAGTTGTTGTCTTGATTGTATCATCTTAAACAGTGACTGATAGTTCTTCTTAGTAAATTGGTACTTGCTTAGCTTGGTCAAAAAATTAAAACTAAAATTACTGAAAATGAAAAGTGCTAAAACGATGATGTCTCGGAAAATGCTTAGATTCTTTTATTCTTTAAGCTGATACCAAATCCCACTTAATCTTTTGCAATCTGTGAAAAGAGTTTTTCCAAAAAATTTTTATTGATAAATTGCGGCAATGTCTTTTTTGTAGCTCATAACCAATTTTATTGTAGTTTTATACAAAGTATATCTGTTACTTATTCTTTCATACAAAGTTTATTATTGCCACCATTTTTGTACATCTTGGTCTCCAGGCAGCATTAAAAAAAAAGAAATCAACAATAAACAAAAAGAATAAAACAAATTTGAAAATGATCCATGGAATTTTTCTTCAAAATCTTTTCTCTCAGTAAATTGTTTTCATTTATGATTGGAAATTGTTTACTGGAAGGTTTCAAGATGGGTTTTTCTGTCCTGAGTTTTTTTGACACTAAGCCATCCAAGTCAAGTGTTCATGCCTAGA